TTTGGGGTGTTGCCGCACGTTCGGGAGTGCTGCTGGGGAGGAATGCTTGCAGGCCCCCACGCTCCCGTCCCCTTTTGGAGCCGGCGGGGAGAAAGGAAAGGGAATCACGTTGGTGCCTGCAGGGAGGACACCCAGTGCCTGTCCCCTTCCCGCAGAAGCTCGAAGCCCCCGTGCCCCCTCCCCAGGCGCTGTGCTCCCTCCCGCACCTGTCTGTATTTATTGACCCAAGCCTCCTGGCGTTTCTCCATTTGGCTCCCGCTGGATTTGCTGTTGCCAGTTTCCGGAGATGGTGAGAAGAGCCAGGATGTGTGGGTATCACTATGGAGAAAAGACCAAACCAGGTATTCTGCTGCCGCGTGGGGAAAGTCGGAAGGAGAAGAGGAAAGCTGGTTTTGCAGAGTGCCTTAAACACAAATGACTACTGAGTAGGGGGCTTGGACTTCTGTCTCTGGATGTTATTACCAACTCAAACAAATGTTGCATTTCACTTCTCTGGGATTAAAAGAAAACCACTCGAGCTGTACTGGAACCAAACCCTGTGTTTGCTTGAGTCTGGCTGGCTGGCTGTATCCCCAGGGCCACAGCGGCGCGGGGGAGCAGGCAGGGATTCGTGGGTTCTCAGCCATCAGCCCCTGCCTGGCTCGGTGGTGGGACCAGCAGCTGCCTCTGCTGGCTTTAAGCCCCCTGGTCTGGTGATGGGACTCGTTCCCCCTTGTCTCGATCACAGGTGGCTTCTCCGGTGTCCCAGAGGGGCTGTACTCGCCCTGCAGTGCCCCTTCCCTGGGGAAGCTCAGAGCAGCCTGTTTGCACAACGCTTGCTGTTGGGGCCGTGTCCTCAAGCTTCCAGAAAATTGGGCGGTTGATTGGAAAGCTCTGGAGGCGGGGGGCAGACAGCCCCTTTCCCTTAGGAAACTGGATCAAGGCTAGGGCTGTGTGCCGAGGAACCGGCAAGAAGCCCAGGAGCTCATGCAGCCCAACTGTGGGGAACTAGGGAAGCTGCCAAGCTTGGTAAGGCTGAAAAAAGAAAAGGGATGATTCCCGTTTGAAATTGCAGATCTCCCTCCCACTTCTTGCAGAGTGAAAGAGGGGGAACAAGAGTCAACCCAGAGACCGGGGTTTTTCTTCTTATAGGGAAAATAATACATGGGGATAATGCAGAATTTCATAACGAAGGTTCATTTAGAAGTCATTTGGGGAAAAATACAAATATTCACTGTATAGTTCCTGGAGGCAATTAAATATTAATATATACTTTTTTTGGATAACGAGAGAGGGAGGTCTCTGAAATGCAGCCATGTTTGGGGAAGGATGTCCTCAGTGGGCTGTCCTGGCCTGCATGCCGGTGTGAAGGAGGACAGCGATGGGTGCTGCGAGAAGCCAGTGGCTCTGGACGTTGTCCGAGGGCTGATGGGCCACGTCCCAGGTGGGTGTGGGTGCTGCCTCAGGATTAGGCCCTGCGGGATGCTGGAGGGTAGCTCATTGCATCCAGTGCATTGCTTACCATTAGCATCAGCCCTAGTCGCTGCTTGCTGTGGGGTACATTTGTGCCCTGTGCCAGCCAATTTCTTTAACAGCTCCTCGTTTTGAGTGTTGCTGATTGTGCTGGGCACTGAGAGATGCTGCCAGGCAGCCTATGAGCTATTTATTCGGTGAGCGGGTTTCTTTCCTAGCGTTATATTAAAACATCGCTCATCTCTTGACAGATCCCTGAGGTATAGGTGCAGGGAGAGCAGGGAGGAGTTGTATCATGGCTTGTATCACGTCCGCTCATGCCCTGGGAAGCAGGTAGGACCTCCCACACCACAGCTAATGGCAGGCCAGGCTGAGGCATGTTCCCCGAGCAGACATCTCTTCCTTCCCCCCACCAAGGCTCTGCTGCAAAGCAGGAGCAGTATGGCTGCCCTGGACCCCGCTGCATCATCTGAAATTATGTGCCCTGAGACAACCTGTGTTTCCAAAGTGCCTTATTTACAGAGCAAAACCAAGGGCAATCTGTGCTGCTGCCACCTACCCATGAGCATGGGCACACATCCCAGCTGCACAGCCTAGGGGAACAAAGTAAATGGTGCAAGGTGCCGCGGACATCAGCAGAGGCAGTACTGAAGATCAGTTTATTTGCTCTATTCCCTCTTCCATAAAACCCGAAAACAATCAACTTCCAGCAAGAGATGAGAAAGCAGTAAGTGAGAGATTTGGCTCTGCAGCTCCTCCCCTACGCACAGGACCAGACAAAGGCATTAATGTGTTAGTGATGGCTGCTCCAAAAGGCACGCAGCAGTTTGGAGCTGCCGAAGCTCCGTGATGGTGATGGGAGGTGTGTGCGCCCAGCAGGACACCCCTCCAGGGCCTGGCTGCTGACACCACGCTTTTCACGGTGCCTCCAGGAAAAGCTTGGCCGGTGCTGAACAGGAGACCCCACAGCACGAGCCCTGGAGCCCCCACTGGTCTGCTAACCTCTTCCTTGTGGGGCTGATTCAAGGCAAGAAAACACCCAGGGTTTTAGTTTTGAGGGGATGTGGGGGATGAAAGGGGTGGGGAGGACTGGTTTAGTATTGCGATGCACCATCAGTGTGATGGTACGAGGCTGCTAATCACACGGTGTCAGGGAGGCAGGAGCTGGGCACGGGGAAGGCTCCCGACGCCAAATGACCTGCAGCCCAGCAGGATGGATAGGCAGACCCGTCCCGCTCACTCCGGCTGTGGGGTGTAACGCAGGTACTTCTTGCCCGACGGGAGGCCTTTCGTGAAGACTCCTTTGGGAAAGAGCTTCTTGGCTTCCTCGTCAGGTAAGGTGGGCACAACCATGACGCTGTCACCAGGCTGGGGAGCAAACGGGAACCGTGAGAGCAGCAGAGGAGCTGGCGGGCTTGTGATGCAGGTGGCACGTCCCTGCATCATCAGGTGACACTGCCTCCCCATGAACACTCGGCCCCAATGCCCCAGGCACGTCCCCTGCAGCTCTGCCTGGAGCCAGCAGTGAGGGCTGAGTGGCAGCTACACCAGGAGGTGTGGGTGATGTCGTAAGGGAGAGCTGTGCTGCCTGCCAGCCCCGCCAATGGGAAGAGCTGTGCTGCCTGCCAGCCCTGCCAATGGGATCCCACAGCCCAGCTCTTCCCCACAGCACTCCCACGGGAACAGGGAGTAACGAGAGGAGAATTGGGCATCTCTACGATGCAGGAGGGAGCACAGCTTGCCCGAGTCTGCTCATCCATTCCTATTGCTCAGGTACCCCTGGACAGGCGGTGCTGGCTCCCCCTTGGCATGCCAAGCCTCGGGGAAAGGTGTGCTTCCCTGGGAGGTGGGCTGGTGGGTGAGCTGGCCCCACACCACTGGGAGCTTATGCTGCAGGAGATAGAAGTCTTCAGAGGCAAGGCTGCCTCCACGCTCTGCTCTGCCCCAGGAAGTGAAGGTGCAGTTTGTTGTATGCTCAGCACATGGGTGCTGGTGTTGAGGGGTGGAGAGGCACAGTGAAGTGCACCGATACCCTGAGTTACTTAACCTCTGAGGCTTGTGCCTACGGGACCTTCCTGCCCAGATGGAGCAGGTGTTTGGGACAATGCTCTGGGAGCCTGATCCTGCCTCATAACACAGGAGGACTTCTCCAGGACACCCTGTAACAGCAGCAGCGTGTCCTCTGGCTCCAGACAGGCAGGCTTCCCCAGTAACAGCTATCAAAGCCAGCAGCAGGACAGGTCCAGAAGCTGAGCAGCTCTCCTGGGCTGAGGAAACGCTGGCTAGCTAAAGCAGCCAGACTATGCTGCTTGTTCTTGCTTTATCTTAGCTGCCCAAACTGTTTTTTTTTTTGAGTTTTAAATAATGCCACTGAACAGGAATGGTCACAGCTAAGCAACTTCAACTAGTAATTTTCAATGAGGATAGGACTTGGCTGTGTATGTACTGGACAAAGTGGGGCAGTGCCCATACTGGCCCTTCCTGGCTCAAAAGCAGGAGAGCAGCAAGCCGGCCCAGGGAGCGGTGCCCCATGCTTGCTGCTTTGCTGGCTTTGAGTGAACACTGGCACACTGACAGCTGGTAATGCCCTTCCTTATCACAGACAACAAGGGCAGGACCTGCCTTGGCCTAAAGCTCAAGGACCGATAGCCAGAAGGGCCAAGCCCAGTATTTGCTGGCACCAGGGACTGAGGGCAGGGAAGGGAGGTTGCTATGGCTGACTCCAGACTACAATAGCCCTGGGGCCTGGGCTGGGATCTAACTCGTATCCCAGGACCTCAGCAGCTTTCCCCGCACCGTGGTTCCCCCTCCAAGGGAGGCTGGTTGACATTTCAATGCACGTTTTCAGTGCCCGGCTGTGAGCTTTGCTCCCTTCCTCACCTTCCAGTCCACAGGGGTAGCGACCTTCTTGTACGCCGTCAGCTGCAGGGAGTCCACCACTCTCAGGATCTCATCAAAGTTTCTGCCGGTGGTGGCTGGGTACAGGATGGAGAGTTTCAGCTTCTTATCCGGGCCAAAAATGAACACCTGAGCACAGGGAGACAGGGTCAGGGGCTGGGCAGAAGATATTTGTCCAACTGCCCTGCAGGGCTACTCAGCCCTGCTGCTCCTCCCTTTCCTGGGCGGTGGCCTGCTTGATTGCAGGTGTTGGGACAGGGGAGATGCCACGGTGGGGATCTCCTAAAGCAACAGGTGATGCCCAGGGAACACAGTGTTTGCTCTGGGAGCTCCTGTTTCCCATGCCAGCTTGTTTTGCTACTTGAAATGTTTCCTCCCCTTGACCTGTGCCCTTCTAATGCAAGCATGGGAGGGGAGAGGGAAAGTCCCGCAGATCAAGCACTTTTGTCCCCTCTATGTTAGGACAGGCACAACCAGGATGAGCTGGCGTCAACAGCAAGATGGAGCTGTTGCCGGCAGGCTAGTGCTGCACCAGCCTCTTCCTGCAGCACAACCCATGGATCTAGTCCAAGGAAGTCAACCTAGCTCCTGAAGATGGTCATGTCCATCCAGGTAAGCTGCCCCCATCTTCAAGTCCAGCCCCACAGACACAGGGCAGGACAGCAGGCGATGCCTACTGCTGAGAAGGCTGCCATGCAGCGGTGCTCCAGGGCCAGGTACTCACCACGCGAGCAGTCAGGGGCATGCCATCCTTGTCCCGCTCATCTGGGTCCAGCATGCCCAGCTTGACAGCGAGCTCCCGCTTTGCATCAGCAATGATGGGGAAGGGGAGTTTCTCCTCAGGTTGTTCCCCATTGTATGCATTGATGTCCTGCAGAGACAAAACCATTGGCACACTCATGCTCCCTGTTGTGGGTACCACCACGGGAGACAGAGGCCAGGCAAGGAGACCTCCATGCAGGGTGGGGCAAGCTCCTGCAGAGGGGCCATGCAGAAACACGTTCAGCAGCTGCTCTACAGGAGCTTGTGACTTGCTTGGCCCCAAAGTCTCAGGCTGGGACAGCACAGCCAGGGGCTCATGGCCTTCCATGAAGTTTCTCTGCTTCCAGAAACCAGGTGACAAACCAGAAACCTGTGTGCCAGGCCGGACTCTGCCTTGTTCTTAGAGGTTAGTTGTTAGGCTGTCTATGCTCGCACCTTGTCGCTCACCTGTGGAACTGCCTGTGGACCAGCTGCTTTGCCCAGGAAGTGGGTACAGAGAAACAGAAGTCCTGCCCATGCTGGTGACACTGGGAGATTTACTCACCTTTCCCTGAGAACAGAAGTGTCCTTCTTTCAACCCTCTCCCAGTAAGTGATCTAGCACTACTTACAGATGTGTTGGTGTCACACCTGAACTGGACTGTGCTCTTAAGGAACAGTTTCTCTAGTGGCAGAGCAAACCAGCAACTCTACAGCTAACGAAGGTCAAGTGTCGAACACTTCACAGGTCTGATCCAAGGGACCAGCTCCATTCAGCAAGCCATTGCTAACTTACTTAACTAAAGGCTCTTGAAAACAGAGTGAAAGTCTGAGTGCAGGTGCTGGGACACTGCATGCTCCTTTCTGAACTATGGCTGGGACAGAAGAGAAAACCATCCCCTTCCACAGCTGTGCAGGCTCTCCCTTGTGACCGTGGTTTATGAAGTTGCTCTCTGTGCTAGTCCAAACTTGACCTGCTTCACAGGGAAACTGTATTTTGAGCGTCTCTGAATCTGGTCTGGACTTGGCCAAAGCATTCAAGTTATCCTTGTAGTTTGTGGTACCACCCATTCGGGTCATGCTGAGCCACAGCAGGGCTGGGAGGAGCCTGCTCAAGGCAGCACAAGCAGAGCAGCTGCCAGCATCAAAGCAAGTTTAATCCAAGGTTTCTGCCCTAGAACAGAGCTGCCTGTTCCTTCCATCCTCTTTACGCTACAAGGGGACAAAACTGACTCCAGTGCTGATGCAAGCCTCCCGCGCACCACTGTGGTACGTTATCATCTGAGCTGATAATTTGAATGTACAAGTCTCTCTGCCTTCCCTGGGCCTTGAACGTGGGCCTTGAACCCAGCAGGCTGGGTCCTGCTCAGAGGGAACTCGGGGAGGGCAGGGTTGGAAATGCTGCCCTTTGGCACTGCCCACTGCTGCTCAGCACGCCAGAGGCAGCAAGAGCAGGCAGGCCCTGCACCACTCCTCAGCCCTCCTAGGCTGACGGTGGTGACATAAGGGGCTGTAACCCTGTCCTGGCTGCTCAGGATGCTGCAAGCAGGTCAAGTGGTGCACACGTGGCAAGATGTTTCCTTTCAGCTTTTCTCTTTGCTTGTTTTCTCCCCAGGGAGAAAGCACTGAGTCAGCACTGCACTGCAAAAAGGGGCTGTTATTCTTGGCTGGGTTGTGGTCAGGCCTGCCTTGGAAGGAAGGAATCGGTTCTGTTCTCCTGCAGACCTGCCTTGCCAAAGCAGAGCAGGGAAGGACAGCAGAGCCGGAGAGGCCAGCCCAGGCGAAATGCTTCTGAATGCCCCACAGAGTCACAGGCGGCTGTAGATGAAGGTCAGACAGTGACACCCTCCCCGCCCCGCCCCCCCTTCAGAGTGGGGGCTGGAGGATGAAGAGAGCTTCTGAGAAGCAATATCCGAATCCTATGGACTGTAACTCATTCCAAAATGCACGTAATTTCATGACCTGGGGATCTCTGTACAAAACAGCCTCATAAACCCCACCCTATTTTGCAATAAGACACCCAAGGCTCACTCACTTCCCTATGAACTATTTTTTTTTCCAGAGTCCCAGCTGAAACCAGACATCACTGGAGTGATTTATTCACCCCTGACTCACCAAGGTGAAGGCATCAGTGGCCAAAGAGAGCATTGAAACCTCCTCTGACATGCACAGCACATGCCAGTCAACCCTGCTTAAGGAGCTCATGCATTCAGCCAACCCTTGGAGAAGCAGTGCACAGACTGGGGAGGTAGGAGAGTGGGATCAATCCCTGGCCGAGCTACACATTTGTTCTGAATCCTGGAGCAAGCCCCTGGGTCTTGGCTAGGGATGACTAAGAACAGCAGTGACATCTTTGGCTGGGAAAGCAGAGCTGAGCAAAGTGACATGAGAATTATTGGCTATACTCTGGTCCCACCTTTCCAGGCCCCATCTGCCCACTGAAATTTGGCAGCAAAGCAAGCAGAAGTTTCTTTGTTGTTTCATGCAGGATTTCAGCCATCCCTCCTGCCCATTTGCTTCCTCACAGGGTGTGCTCCAGATAAAAACAGCTTCATCCTCTCACTACTGCTAGGAGCTTCATCCAAAGAGAAAGCATAGGCATGTAAAAGAATGTTGCACAGAGAGGTCTGCCTGCCCAAAGTTTTGCCCACTCCTAGGACTTCTCTCTAAGTTAAGATTTAGTGAAGGAAATTGCAGTTTCTAGATCCCAATCTAGCATTTAATGCAGACTGCTTTTGTCCAGACAGGCAACTTCTGCCAAGGCTTGGTATCTCTGTTAAGCTTTTTTTCCCCATGGCTGGTCAGGAGAACCTTTGGGGCACTTGCCCCTGACCTCAGACTTGCAGAAGACCTTAACACCTGCCTTCCCAGTTCAGTACTTTGGCTCCCTGCGTTATCTGAAGTTCTTCTCTGCTTTGTCAAGGACAACGGAAAAGGATCACACATACGGGCAAGGTCTAAGAGCAGAGCAATCACATCCCTGTCCTCTTATGCCCTCCACGATGCACGCATGCTGCGTTCATTGCTCCTCCATGCTCCCTGCACTGCTCACGGTGTCGCAGCCTGACATGTCCTCCCGTTCCCAGGCTGAAGAGCCCCAGTTGCCCTGCACTGAAGCAAACCTGCCCAAATCTGCAGGCAGCTTTGTTCCCCCTCTGCACCTTTTCTTGTTCCCCTATAGTCTGCGAGATGGGCGATTTCAAACACAGGCTGCATGGAAGACTCCAGTCTGCTATGCATTTGTCCTCACGAATTGGATCTTTTCCTCTGGATGCCTTTCATGGTTTTCTTTTTGACAAGTGCTGAGCTGACATTTCCAAACCACTGTCTCGGAGGCCTCTCCCAGCCTGATAGAAAGCTCACCACAGCTCGGACCACTGCCCTCTGCCTTTCTCTGTGCTTGTTCTGGAAGGTTTTCCAAACGTGCTACTCTGCCTCCCATCAGTCAGCGTCGAGAGGCTGTTCTGCAACCTCTTCTGGTTTTACCTGAGGTTGCGCTGAATAATTCCATAGCATCAGCAAAGTCAGCTCACGGTTCATCTCTTTTCCAGGTCACCCAAGTGTGCTGAACCCCACACGTCCCTGCAGACCCTCAAGGGAGCTCACCGCTTCCCTCCCTTGACACAACCTATCACTTCCTCCTGTCTCCCTGCAGAAAAGAGCCTGCCCTTCACAAAGCTGATGTCTTTGAAAAGCTTCTTGGAAATTTGAGGAGTTTGTGAAAGTCGGCAGTACCCTATAGTTCTTCAAAGGGCTCTAGCCAACCAGGAGATGAGACTCCCTTACAAAAGCAAAACCCAAACTTTATATTATATTTAACAGGATGTTATCTGCTAATTTGACTGGTAGTTTCAGCCAGTTTGACCAGCACAGAAACCTCATTAACTGGTGTGGGATTTGTATGCTGCTTTTCCCAGGCCCTTCTGAGGCCTGGTGGAACATTGGCCATGCACCACTCAGGTACGAAGGTCAACTTAAGCAATAAGGCAATTAGGTAATTTTCTAAAGCCAGTCAGACATGAAACAATGTTTGATTGATTATGGAAATTGATCACCTTTACTACCTCTTATTGCATGCATGTCTCACCCCTGGAAAATGCGTGACAACATCCCAATTTTAAGAGCAAAGAAACAGGCAGGTAATTCACCCAGAGATTGTTACGCTCTGGCCATAACTGTCCGAAATGCTTATTTTACACCCCTACCACCTACAAGCCCTGGAGTCATACTCCCTGGCAGCACACCATTGCCAAGGCTGCATTTGAAGTTTTTCATTAGTTCCTTTTGTGTTTCTTCAGCAAGCTATTTCTTTCCCTTTTTTTTTATACTCCCTTATGATGGTTTTATATTTAACATGCTCCTATTTGTAGTTTTACATTTAACATGCCCCTGTTTGTTCTCCGTTTTTTTTTCCCTGCCTGGGCACGAATTGCACCCTTTGAAGACTGCCTGTTCACTTCAGATGCCTCTTTTCCTTTCCTGTTTTATTACAGAACTTTTTGAGGGTCTGTGGATAGATTGCCTTCCTCTGAGCTTTTGGCACCACCTTCACATACGTTTTTACCCTTTCAGGTATTGGTGGTAGAGCAGTAATACTGTTTTCCTCTTGTTTCAAAGTGTCAGTGCATAGAGTGCCCTGGACTTTGTGGAGCGCTCCATGAAGATGGAGCAGACCTTCCTGTTCCTGCCCTGCATTTTAGCACCTCCTATCCTACATGGTTTGGGATTCAAGTGTCTTACAATGTTATCCTCAGCAGATCTGTAGTTCCAAGCCTGTGCTCTGTTCTGCGTGAGCTTCTCCTCTGGCCTTCAGAGCAAGGCAGCAGCGCAAGCTCCCCTTGCGCCTCCCCACGCCCCGTACCTTGCTCCAGGAGAGGTGGTCTTGGACACTGTCAATGGAGAGGGCGATCATCTTCACATTGCGCTTGCTGAACTCGGGCGCCAGTTTCGCCGCTCGTCCAAGCTCTGTGGTGCAGACAGGTGTGAAGTCTCTCGGGTGGGAGAAGAGGATGCCCCATCTGAAAGATGAGAGGAGATGGCATTAGGGCAAGATGTCATTCCGGTTTGTACTGCAGATGAAAAGCTGTACAGATTGCACTGCACGGAGACTGGTGCAGGAGCAGCTCATCTCTCTGTCCTGGGAACATTTCCTTCCCTATCGCTAGAAGCCTTCATGAGACGAGCCCTGTTCATCATGCTCTGAGAAACTCCCCGCACCTTGGTCCCCCTCTCCCTCCAGGATCCCCCAGGGGATGCTGGAATAGCCCACCGTTCCTGATGTGGAGGTGGATACTATGCCACGTGAGGAAGTTTGGGGGAGCCACATGTACACTCTGTACCCCAGAGACCACGTGTGCGAGGGCACATAGATGCCAACCTGCCGGCCACGTTATTGCAGAGATCATTACTGGTTTACAAGGCTATTCACCATCCTGTATACCTCGTCAACCACTGTGAGGAGAAACACCCATGTATATCGTGCAGCTTAAAAGAACGGGGTAGGACCAAACCTTACCCCAACCGCTGCTGTGAGCTGCTGAACGTACTTCATGGAAAAAATAAGAATTAATCAACTAACAGGGGAGGCCAGAAGTTAACATCACATTATGGCTACAATTACAACAACACTGCCACCTTGCTTTTGCCCACTGCTTCCCATCAGTGGATTCTGCAGTCTTTAGAGCAGGCAGATACAAGTCATCCCACTTTACAGGCAAGGCAACCGGCGCACAGAGAAAGGCAGCAATGCAGCCCAGCAGTGAGATGGGCTTATGGCAAAACGGCTCCCAGCTCTCAGGAGTTTCCAGAGGCTAACACAAAGTCACCCCCAGCACTTAAAATTCCCTGCCAGTGTTGCACCATTCCTCAGCTCAACACGCACAGGGCTTACTGCGCCGCTCTTCACCTGGCCCCCAGCACTCAGTAAATACAGCCGCATGCCACAGCGGCTGGGGAAACTCCTGTCTTAGAGATTTGGGAACGGAGCTGGAGGGATCACATGAGGCACCCTGCAGCTCTGCCAGAGCCGTGCAGTTGCCACAGCTCGCCATGAAGTTACGGGGCAGCTACCCGGCCACTGGTGCTACGAGTCGCTTTATACAATAGGTATACTACTTGAATAAAAAGGCAGCAAACAACCGAGCAGAAGCTGGCCAAAAAAGCTTCCACGTGGGTGGTCAGGCTGGGACAGCCAGTTTTAGGAAGGCCTGCAGCTTATTTTCTCGCTAAGAGGGTTCCTTTTTCCCCATTTGCCCGAGCTCACGACGCTGACAGAAGCGGACTCAAACACCGATTCAAGCCTGCCAAGCGCTGCCGGGAGCGAGTCCCAGACATGCTGTGCCAGCACCCTCCCGCTCGTGCCAGAAATGGAGCAACAGGCTTTGTGGGAAGCAGCAGCTGAAGGCACGTGGCTTTCCACGTCGGGCTCAAACAGGACCAGAGTCCTTCGCCACTGCTCGATTAGACACCTTCGCCTGCCCGGGCTCACTCACAAGGGACGTACGTGACACGTGAGCTGATCTCTGGGACCGGCCTGGACTAAGCGCTGCTCTGGCAAGCCTGGCTTTTCCCTTCCCCGGGGCTCTGCCGTTTTCAGAGCACCTCTTCCCTCTCCTCGAGGCCTTGGCTCACCTGCAGCGAGCTCGGCTCATCGTCTCGCCGTGCAGCCCGCAGGAGGGGATGGGGGAAGGGGGAGAGGGGTGGCTTTGCCCGCTCGGAGGAGCCCGCACGCACCTCCCCACCGCACGCCCTGGAAGATGGCAGCGTCCAGCTGCC